GCTACCCTACCCTGTCACTGAATTATATGAGGCTACCTATGAACTGCCCATTTTGCTAGCGTCTCATTGATTGTGTGACAGCTGTCGGAATCTTCTGATTTTTTGTTATTCTCCTCTTGTGAACACCTCTCTTTCTTGGTTATTGTTGATTCCTTCCTGCCAATCGTTGATACACACTCTCTCTCCTCACTTGCCCCCTCCTCGGCGCCTTACCTCCAGGCTGGCCGATGGACGTCCTTGAGGCGGGACAGAGGTGTCTTGGTTGCTTGTCCCCCTTGTGTCCTTGACTTCCCTCTTGGGTCGTGCTGCTGCTGTCAACGGGAGTTGTGTGTTGGCCTCGTCCTCGCTTGGGCGGAGCCGACTTCGTGGTCGGGTGTGAGGGGAGCAGCCGACCTGCAGCAGTGGGCGAGCTGGTTGACGAGGAGGTCGACCTGCACGGGGGTCACTGTCAACGGGAGTGTTGTTTGGCCCCGTCCTCGCTTGGGTGGAGCCGACCTCGTGGTCGGATGTGCGGGGGTTGCAGCCGACCTGCAGCAGTGGGCACGGGGGCTACTGCAAGGGCGCCGAGCTGAAGGGCGCCTGGCTGGAGGGCGCCGAGCAGGAGGACGCCGTCCTGGACGCCTGGTTGGCGTCCTGGACGCTTGGACGGCGTCCTGGGAAGGTGGACGCCGACCTGGGCGTCGGCACGACTACCCGGGCGCCTGGGCGGCGTCGTGGGCGCCTGCACGGCGTCCTGGAAGGCCAGACGCCGACCTAGGCGTCTGCACGGCGTCCTAGGAACCTGGGACGCCGCCCTGGGCGTCTGCACGGCGTCCTGGGGGCCCAGACGCCGACCTGGGCGTCCTGGGGAGCCCGGACGCCGACCTGGGCGTCCTGGGGAGCCCGGACGCCGACCTGGGCGTCTGATCCGCGTCCTGGGAGGCTAGACGCCGCTTCGGAGGTCTGTACGGCGTCCTGGGCGTCTGGACGCCGACCTGGGGGTTCGGACGGCGTCCTGGGCGCCTGGACGCCGGACTGGGGACGCCGGGCATTGGTGGCCGGCTACGGGCTGTGCTGGTTGACCGGGTGTAGTTGCCCGGTCGACCGAGATACCCGGGCGACGTGCGCAAATGTCGCCGGGGTGGAGTCTGCGAGGCCGACCTCGGGGGTGGTATCCCGAGGTCGATGTGGCTGGTGGGCGCAGTCGCTGGCGTGGAGTCTGCCAGGCGTCTGCGCTGTGCACGTGATGAGGAGTGGCGCACCAACCAGCTGCACGCATCTGCGAAGCAGGTGCACCGTTGTCCTGCGGGTGCAACGCTGTGCAGCCGACTTGCTGCAGCGTTGGCACACCGTGGACTTGCAACGTTGGCGAACCGCTACTCTGCAACGCTGGAGCGGTGCGAGCGCTGCTGCGCTGGAGCGCGGTTGACTATGCTGCGCTGGAGGTCGACCAGCAGCCTAGCTAGCTCTGATGTAGTCAGTGATGCCAATGTTGTTGCTATTATTGTTGTCATGTTTTCCTAGTGAAACTCTTGCCAATTCTCCCCGTGAACTAGCAAGCAGCGTGAACACAAGGAAACGACTAAGTGAACGAACGCAGAGATCACACGAGCACCCGTGCCTAGCCCGTAGCCTAGCTCCCGTTGCACGAGTTATCTCCGCAGCCACTGCATGGGCGCCGACTTCAGGGTGGCGCCGACTTCAGGGAGGTCGACCTGGGAAGTCGACCTATGGAGGGCGTCGACTTGGTGACGCCAACTTGGGGCAGCCGACTTGGGTGGTCGGCTGACAAGACTGCTGGTCGACTTGGTGGTTGGTTGACCAGGAGTGACGTCGACCTGGAGCTGGTGTGGTCGACCTGGTGAGGTCGACTTGGAGGTGGTCGTCGACTTGGGAGGTCGACGGGCACATACGGTAGCAGCTGGTCGACGTGGTTGCCCGGTCGACCAGGTTACCTAGGTGACGAGGTTCTGCGGAGGAGTGCGACGGTCGCCCAGGCGAAGTTGGCGAGTCCGACCTCGGTGGTGGTATCCCAAGGTCGACGTGGCTGATCAGATGCAGTTGTCAGCGCCAGGTTGACTTGGTGTGTGCGCTGTGCAGGTGACGAGGCTTAGCCCGCCAATCATCTGCGAGCACCTGCCACGCTGGTGCGCTGTTGTTCTACGAGAGCAGCGCTGGCACGCCGTCAACCTGCGACGTTGGCACGCCGTCGACTTTGCACTGCTGGAGCGCAATCGACCAAGTCGTGCTGGAACGCGGTCGACCATGTTGCGCTGGCAGTTGACCGACCTGAATGCTAGCTCTGATGTAGTCTTGCCATGCCAACTTCATTGTACCATTGTTGACAACTTTCTCTAGTGAAACTCTTGCCAACTTTCCCCGTGAACTAGCAAGCAGTGTGTGCACTAGGAAAACGACTAAGGACCATTGAACGCAGAGATCACACGAGCACCCATGCCTAGCCCGTAGTCTAGCTCTCGTTGTAGTAGTTATCTCTGTAGCTGCCACATTGGTGATGTGGTCGCTCCTTTCCTTCCCCTTCTCACTCACCAATACAATCACTCTCGACTTCGTTACTTCCTTCCGGCTCCCATTTGTCAATACCGTTGCACGTCCCTTAGCAGCAGATAGGAGATAGAATGGCGATAGGTCCTTTAGCACAGCTTGCTTATTGAATCTATAACCTGCAGCCACCCACGGTAACCTAAGGTCCCAATCTCTCTTATACTGCTCACCGTATGCCCTCAAGCCCTTCTTGATGTTTTGCACGAACCACTATGTCAGCCGGTCGCTCTGTGGGTGATATCTAGAGGTCCTCATGTATGTGATTCCGGTCTCAGGAGCTGGTCAAACTGCCCCCGGAACTCCGTTCCTGGGTCGGTTAGCACTTCCCCGCCTGCTCCAAACCACGTCAGCATTTGTTTCTCGAACGCTTCCACCACCCTGGCCGAGTTCTTGCTAGGCAGCGCTTTCACTTCCACCCACTTACTCCCGTGCTCGATCATGATGAGGATGCACCTCTTTCCCCTGCGGCTCAGAGGCATCTCTCTCGCTAGGTCCAATGACCAGCAAAACCCCAGGCCGTGTATAGGCAGCGATTGAAGCTCCCTCCTACCCCTATCCAGTTACTCTTGGTTCCGGCTGCACAGCTCGCAACTCTGCACCCACTCCCTAATTTGCCTGCGCATTCCTGCCCACCGCCACCTCGCTCCCACCAGCTGTTGTGTCCTTAATTCTCCGTAACGACCCAGCTGCCGATGCACCAGTGCTATGATGTCCTCCCTCTGGGATGGCTTCGGTACCACCTTCCACCCGTCCTTGGAGTTCACTTGCAGCTGGTCCTGGTACCAACGATGGTGCGCTCCCCTAGCTCGCACTCTCTCGGCTACCGCTCTCTCTTCTCCTGCCCTGCCTTGCACCCACTCCAGTACCTCCCCATCCGCCCACACATCCTCTGGCCCCCTTTCCTTGCTCTTCTTGGCTCCCCCTTGATCGATTTCTCGAGCCAGCGCCACTAGGCATGCTGACGACAACTCCTGCGCGGGATTCCTGGATAGCCCATCAACATGTTGCATATTATTGCCCGGACGGTGCTTAATAAAGAAATCATACTCTTGCAGGCGCATCACCCACCTCGCGTTACTTCCCGTGAGAGCCTAGTTAGTCATCAACCACGTCAGCGTCTGATGGTCTATGACTAGGGTGAAGGGTCTGCCTTGCAAGTACACCCTGAAATGCATTATAGCCCACACTGCCGCCAAGCCCTCTCCCTCGTACGAGCTGTAATTCGCCTCCGACGGGTTGCAGCTTCGTCTCGCGAATGCTACCACTCTCTCTTCTCCCTTTTGCTCTTGGCATAGGATCGCTCCCATTCCTGAACTGCTCCAATCGGTGTATAATATGAACGGGTCTTCTTTGCTAGGTAAGGTGAGCACCATAGCTGTCTTTACTGCTTGCTTCAATGTATCTAGTGCCTTTTGCTCCTCCTCCCCCCACTCCCACTGTTGCTCTTCCCTTAATAGCCTGTTTAGCATGGCTGCTGTCTTGCTGAAGTTGGGCACGAACCGTAGGTAGTACCCTAGGAAACCCAGTACTGCTCGTAGCGAGGAACGGTCTGTGGGTGTCGACACTCGGTCTAGTACTTCCACCTTTGCCTCCTGCACTCCCAGGTGCCCGTCCCCTATCTCAAACCCCAGATATTGCACCGTCCAGTTTCCAAACTTGCACTTCTTTGAATGACATGTCAGCCCGACCCCCTTGATAGCTTCCAACGTCTCCCACACGTCCTTCACATGTTGCTCCGCCGTTGCACTGAAGATGATCACATCATCTATGTAGCACGTCACCGCGGGCACCCCTCGCAGTACACTATCCATGGTGTGTAAAAACACGGCTGAACCGTTCCTCATGTCGAACGGCATTACTCTCCACCTGAAATGGCCGTTTGGTCTGTGGAACGCCGTCTTCTTACGATCCTCCTCCTTAGTTGGGATCTGGTTAATGCCCTGCCTGAGGTCTAATGCCAGGAAAACCGTGGCTCCCTGCAGTTTATCAAATATCTCTTCTGCCGATTGCATAGGGTAGCGATCAGGCACGGTCACCTTGTTCAACCTCCGGTAATCTCCGCACATGCGTTTTGCCAACACGTCGCGTACTCAGTTTCTGACGTCTGAATGAGTGATATTCGCGGTGATATTCTGAATGAGTGATATTCTGGATGAGTCCCGCTCCAGCAGCTCTGCGCACTTCGCGGCACACACTTCGACATCTCCTGGGCTCATTCTCTGCTTCCGGTGATACACGCATGTGGAACATATGAAATAGAGCGTCCAGGTGGGCCTTACACCCGTCGTTCCATGCGACAGTGTCCCGCGGCCAGATGTCGGGCATGAACAGCTTAGGGCCGTTCAAAGTGTCGAGGTCCTTGAATCTCTGTTGCAGGTTGTCCACTGCCGCCAGCGCATAGGAACGACAGGACTTAAAGCAGGACTCCAGGTTGCCAGGCGTGTCGCTGTACCCCGTCAGGTCTTCCCCGGGTGAGCAAACAGTATGGCGTCGAGATCGTCCGTCGCCATCGACTCCTTCTCCTGTGATGATGTGGCTTGACGAGTGGCGCGCAGTGTGACAAAATGATCCCTGTAGTCAATGCCACGTTCACAGATGAAGATGATCATACAGCGGACCAGGGACTGCACAACCGTGAGATCGACCTGAGTTGGGCACAAGGAAGCATGGAAAGAAAAAAGGAAAATACAGAGATATTAGCACGGTCCAGGGATCATGGCTATTACTTGGAATGGTTACTTCTCACCTTGCGTCGTTGAAACACCAAGTTAAGGTTGATGAGCTCTTCCAGGAGGTCCGCCAGGAAAGACAGGAACACATGAAACTTTAGTGGCATCACGATGCGGTAGACGGCTGCGTTGTACTCCATGAGTAGAACAATCACCGCTGGAAGGACATCGCAAAGTCGTTCTAGAGCCTGCCCCGGACTCAACCACCAGACCTGGTGAATGCCCTGCATCTCCAGGTTCGTTTGCAAGAACGTCTCTTGGAGACGCATAAAGACAGCGTGCTAGGGATGTGACTTTCCAAGGATTTTACACACTGCACAAACCATGACATCAATCAACCCCAGATCTGGCACCACCACCGTAGCATCCTTTGCTGCAAGCGCCTCCTTGCCACGTACATATCATGAGCACAAATAGTCATGTGAATTATGAGAAATCTGAAACACAAGGGCACAAGGTGCCAATGAGCGACACAGAGCACCGACACGAGATGTGGCAGCCGCAGCCGGAGCCCCGCCACCAAACTGCCGCTCGACCCCAACATGACCAGTGTACCATCCATCGAAATGCCTATGGTTTTGGTCAACTCTATGCCAGTTGTCTCTAACTGGGACAGGAGAAGAGAGAGGAGAGATGTGGCATCGCGCTTGTCAATGGTAAGCAATGATAGAAGCTCGGTAACGACCTCATGCTCTCGCAGAAAGGTGACAAAAACTATCATGTGCTTCCCGCGCACTCGATCAGTGCTCTCGTCGCGCGTGATGCCGACGAACTGTGACGCATCGATGTGTTCTTGTTGGCACGCACGGAGGTATATCGCGGTGGTTGTCGTGAGCTCTTGGACACCATACCTGTAGCAAGGCAAAACCAAAACCCAACAGCATAAACAACAGTGTTTACATGTTGGCTACAAAGCGCAGATACAACACTTACGTGGTGTAGTAAGCACCGTATCCTTTCCTGGGATATCCAGGTGTGTGGTGGTCGGCAAGGTGCTTCACCAAGTCGACCCACATCTCAATCGGCACGTCTTGTCGTCATATGAAGAGCACCGTCTCCAAGAGAACAATCACATGCTCCTTTTCTATGTCGTACAGCCTGGGACAATCTTCAATTCGTGCATGTCCCAACGCCTTCCTTTCTACAGTAGCTTGGTCCTTCATAGCACGACCATGCTTCATTGTCCTCTGGTGAGCACGTGGGTCTGTACGTCAATTGCACCATGCCTACCACGGCCATAGTTAGTGCCCGATACGCCTTGGGCCACACTGACACAACACTTGACAAATGGAAAGCCGGATGGCGTCTGACAAAAAATGAGCCATGAGTAATCTTTGGTCCACTCTTTGGTGAAACGGTACAAGGCGTCTTGATACTTCAACTCAGCCTCATCCACAATCAGAATGGAAGAGGTGGTGGATATTGTGGGATTTGAGGGCCTGGCGATTGGGGACGATGTCGCGGTTGCGGCAAAATGGCATGCGTAGGCTCGATGAAAGGAAATCAGCGCTTGCGGAAAGCGGTGCGTGCCGAGCTTCAGCCCTACTTTCGAGCCCATCCGCCTTGCAGGTGTGGGGCTTGACGTCGCCGCGGGAGAAGGTGGCAATTCGCCACCAGGGTCCGTCTCAGCAGTAGAATATAGCCGCGTTTCAGAAGTTGGCGCATCCTTAGTGGATGGACTAGGTACAGCAGGCTCGCGAACAGGAGTTGATGCTGCAGGTGTTTCAGCGACAAGGAGGGCACATCTAGTAGCATGTTGGGTTGAAATCATGCCAGGCAGACTTTTGACTTCGTAAAAACGGTTCAGTATGTGTGGTGTACACCACGGTGTGATAGAGAGGTACCGTGCAGCCACGCCTACTGCACCACTGTAAGTTGCCCCGTGTGGGCAATTTTGTCGTAAATGTGAGTGCTGGAGGGCCGACTCGAGTGTTCTCGACGAAAAATCAAATCAAGGAATTCGCATGTGGACCCCCCCGTGACTGTGACTGTGTCAGGAATTCGCATGTGTGCGCACACTGTGACTGTGTCAGGGTACCGCAAAAAAACACTCTGATGCCTCAGGGCAGGCAGGTGTAGAACACACTGATATCTCAGGGTGCTACAGCACAAATATCCTGAAATCTCTGAGCTTTCACTACAAACATCCTGAAACTTCAGGGAAGGTGAGGTAGCTGAACCCTCAATCAGGGTAATCAGGGTATTTTACCCTGATATCATAGGCCTTGCTTGACACCATTGCTTCGTTGTGGGTATGTGATGAAGTGTCACCAAGAAACAGGGTGCGTTACAGGTAGCAAGTGGCCTGTTGAGACCACTTATTAGAAGTATGCTCATTACTGTTGGGCTGAGAAAAGCCCTTAGGATCTTTGCAGGACTAAACTCTGAGTAGAACAATGTAATAGCGGAAGCGTTCAATGAGAAGTTTGTGAACCACCTTGCGCTGGTATGTGAGGGCAAAGTAGATTGATTAAAACAGAGAGATACAAGCTTTTATAAGAGTACAAGGGAATATGAAGGGTTATAGCTAATAACTGTTTTGCTGTTGCTGTTGCGGTTTGATACAGTGACGACTCGGGCAACTGCTCAATAACGAGTCAGTTGTTTGTCCTTGCTGTCGCGCTGTACTTGTCAGGTCAAAGGTCGCTGACCTTTGACTTTCGCGTAACCTCCAGCGGTTGCTCAACCTCTGAGGGTTGACTCGCCAATGCTTCGCTGTGTTTTGCTTCGCTTGTAACTTAGTGCTTTGACACGACAGAGGCGCTTTAGTTACTTGTTTCCAACACTCCCCTTCGCTTCTGAAGTGTCGTTGCTGGTGACGTGGCTCTGTCCAGTCAGCAGCATGCAGTACTCAAACTTCTGCTTTCCGAGTTTCTTGGTCAAGTAATCAGCTGCCATCTCGAACGTGGGGCAGTATGACAACTCGAGTTTCCCCTTCTCGATCTCGTCCTTCACGAAGAAATATCGCAGGGCGATATGCTTCGTCCTGTTCGCGAATCCATTTTTGTTGGCTATGCGAATTGCCGACTGATTGTCGCAGAACAGGGAGAAGCTGGGTAACTGAGCCAGCTTCGCCTCCTCTAGAAGTTCGCGAAGGTATAGTCCTTCCTTGGTGGCTGAGCAGAGTGCGATATATTATGCTTCAGCTGAAGAGAGGGCGATTAACTCCTGCTTGCTTGACTGCCACGAGATGGGTCCGATAGGTTCAAAGCGATAGATATAGCCGGTGCACGAGCGTCTGTTGTCGGAGCCGCCAGCGTGATCGGCGTCGACGTAGCCGATTAACTTAGGTGTCGAGGTTCCGTTCTTGTGATAGGTCAGGCCGATCGTCGGACTGCTAACGAGGTAGTGAAGAGCGCGGTCGAGCTCGGCCATATGTTCTGCCTCGGGCTTTTTGAGGTAGGTGGTGCGTTGACTCGCAGAGTACGATAGATCCGGACGGCAGGTGACGGCCGCGAAGAGGAGGCACCCCAGCTTTCTCTGGTAGTCGCGTATGCCTGCGCGCTTGAGTAGAGCGGAACTTTCTTTGTGATTTCCTGCGGTGTAGCGGTAAGGCGTGGAGATGGTGATCGGGGTGAGTCCGAAGCGTTTGGCGATAGTGTCGGCATATTTCGTGGCGTTGAGGTAGATCGAGCCTTCTTCTTCCTGGATGTTGAGGCCGAGATACTGCGTGACGGTAGACGAGACCGTGAGCGTGAGGTCTTGTTGCAGCTCCCCCCCGAACCAAGTAGTGATGCCGTCAGTCGAGCCGATGTAAAGTAGGTCGTCCACGTAGACGATTAATAAGATGTAGTCGTCGCCTTTCGTGAGCCGATACATGCCCTGGTCGTGTGGTAGCTGTCGGAATCCGATGCGGGTGAGTCGAGCGTGTAGATACTGCTGCCACCGTCTTGGAGCCTGTTTGATGCCATACATGGACTTTAGTAGCTGACAGACTTGGTTGGGCTCTCCGTTGGAGCCGTGTGGAAGTTCGACGAAGATTTTGGCGTCAACAGGGGCGTAGAGAAATGCATTGGCGACGTCGATTTGACGCAGCTTCTTCTACTTCATGGCGGCGATCGCGAGAAGAATTCGGAGTGAAGTGTGTCGACTAACCAGGGCGAACGTCTCGGTAAAGTCACGTCCGTGCTCTTGGTCGAAACCGCGCACGACCCAGCGCGCTTTGAACTTATTGATGGTGCCATCTGCCTTTGTCTTCACACGGAAGACCCATTTCCCGGTGAGTATTGTCTTGTTTTGTGCCACGCTGATGGGAACAACTTTCCAAGTGTTGCGTTCCTCCAGTGCTTTCAGCTCCCTGTCCATGGCTTCGCGCCATTTCTCCCTATGCTCCTGTTAGAGACTAGGGACGAAGTCTATGAAGATTATGTGTCTACATTTCTCAAAATCGTTGGTCTCAATTTCTCGACAGTTTCGTCGCGCTCACAAGAAACGCCGTAGACGGAAAACGCACTGTCGAAACTTCACCAATTTTGGATATGTTGTAGCTCTAGTCCGTGGCTACAATTCCCAAGTTGAATAGTACAAAAAAATGAAGTATTTTTCGAGTTATCAATTTTGGCGCACAGGGGGGTATGCTGCCATAGAATCTTAACTCAATCACAAGAGTTATCTCACAAGTTCACACAAGAAAGTTAGAGTAGCACATGAACCAGGTGGGAGGGGATGAGGAGGACGAGAGGGAAGGTCCCAAGAGAGTCCCCAATCAAGGAAACCCCATGCCACACAATTCCCTTCCCCATAGGCAACCCAACTTTGACCTTTGTCACTATCCCAACCTCCACAATCCACCTCAACCCAACTTGGCCACACTTGCCAACCTGGTTTGGTTTCACCCAACCATTTGGCAGCAACTACAGTAGAAAAGACGAATTTCCCAACCCCCAAAAGTCTGTACCCCATATTGAGTCAACCCCACAATTTCCCACAGTTGCCACAATCAAATATGAAAAGCATACGAACTCCAACGTTCGTAACTTTCTTGTTCGTGCTCCGATTGAAGCGATACTTGGTTCATCGGAAAGCTCTTGAGCAGAGGAGTCACTTCAGATATCTGCTCAAGCCAAATAACATTCACACACACTCAGAAAAACCAAATCGCACAAAACACAAATTCTTGCACACGCTCACGCCACGCATG